CCCCCCCTTTTATGAACGTGGGAATGCATGAGAGGAAAGCGGAAAATTATTTTCTCGGGGGGTCCTCCTGTCACCTGCCACCAGACACCGTTTAACGAGGTAACGTGTTTGTTTCCAGCCATCCTGTGCGCTCTGAACGGCGGAACTGTCTCTTCCCTCTCTCCCCACTACCTGTACTAAAACCCTCGTCAGGACAGAGGAGGTGATTATTTGCTCCCCCAGCACGTCCCGTCTCTAACCGCCCCCAGGACGTTAATCTCCTGGAAGGTTGGGGTTTGGTTTTTTTTTTTTTTTTCAGTACGGAGGAGGTAATTCCCGATGTAGGGTAGAATCAGATCCGTTTATTTTTATTCCTGCCAGAATCGGTCATTTCGGTGGGACAGTTGCAAAGTTCTGTTCTGTGCGAATAACGCGCCTAGAAACTACCCCTGTTGCATCTGCCCGTGCTAACCCGGAATAATTCCTCCTCCTAATACTGTGCTCGTGAACTTTAATCTCCCACATGAGTGCGTGTTACATTTTCTCTGGCTTAGTAATAGTTATTAAGGCTTGTAAACAATTAGCGTAGCGCTGTATCGAGTCTTCTGTTAATTTCAGAGCCAGCTTCTTAATGCAACACAGTAGTCTCTGTGTTAGTCTGGGAACAGTTAGTAGTCTCCTACAAAGTACCTTAGACCTTTGAAGATAGGGAAGAAAATTTGGCGTGAAAATAATTAAAAAAAATCCAACAACAAACAACAAAACAAAAAAACTCCCAAACCAACCAACCGAAAAAAAAAAAGCCCAACCCAAAACCAAACCACAAAAACCCCCTTAAGTGTTACACGACCTTAGCTTTATGCTAGTTCTGGTATTAGTCCGTTCTAATAATAGAAATAGGGGAAGTAGTAGATGTTTTTGGCATCCAAGAAAATCTGTGCGGCAGTAAGAGCTGTCCTAACAATCAAAGTGCAAGCTGTTTTAACAGAGAGTCAGCGGTGGGAATATCAAGGAGGCGAATTTGGTTCCAAGTATTAGACCAAATTTTCCAGACGAGTGCGCTCTTTGAGGAGAACAGCTTCTCTCTCCTTCTCTCTCACACTGGTTTTGCTTTTATTTGGCCCCTTTACAATATTTGCCTCATGATCCTCAGTGCATAAACAGGCAAGGAAAAATTGGGGTGTACATTGCTCCAAATTCGTAGCAGCTTTATTTATTAGTGTAGATTTTGTCGTGAATGCATGCACGGTTCTCTCACCGTACTGTATGTCATACGTTATCTGTATTGGCGCTGCATCTCTGTAGATCTGGGGTACGTGTATATCTCTGCAGGCTTATTATTTGATGAATGTTCCCCGTCGCTTACACCGATGAGAAGACAATTTCCCTAGTTTCCTCAGGGCTGGCAAAGTGAATACTTGGATGCAGGCAATTTGAAATAGAAGGTGTGGGGGAAAAAAAAAAAAAAAACAACAAACCCCAAACCACTCAAAACCCTCAAAACTTAAAAAATGTCTGAGGACTAGATTTCTTTCTTAACGCCTCGAACATCCCCATGTGAAGCTTATCAGTGGTGCGAAAAATACTGTTGATGAAGAGCAGCGTGTTGTACATCCTGAACAAAAAAAATCAATATTTTTGTACCTGAAAATATAAATATTTGAGATTAATACATATACGCAACATTCTGCAATTCAGTGCCCACATAAGGACATTTATACTCAAGGACAGTTATTCTAGAATCCTTTTTTTTTTTAATTATTATTTAGCGATTGCTGCTTTGTGCCCGTTTGACCCAAACGAAAAGCCTGATCTCGGTGGTTCCCAGGAAGCGGTGGGGACAGTCCCGGGAGCGCGCTTTCCGCCTGGCCCTCCCCGCCAGGGAAACGGTGTTCAGATGAGGAAAAAGCATAGTCAAAACACGACCTGCCAGGCAGGAGGCCATCGGGAACCCGCCAGGTAAGCCGGCAGCGGCCACCCTCTGGCGCCCCCGCCCCGGGCCCCCCGGGGCAGCCGGGGCGGGGGGTGGCACCGCGCTCCGCCGCATCCCGGGGAGATGCTGAGATTTCACTCGCATCCCGAGTGAAACCGCCCGGCGCCGGCGGCGAGAAACGCTCTCGAAAAGGCAAAGAAAAGAAAATAAATATAGCAGCGTTCAAACTCAGTGTTAACCAGCGGAGAATAATCCTCCTGGTGTTAGTAGCAGCATTTGATTTACATCATAGAAATCTCGTTTTACGGGTTTTACCCTGTGAGCTTGACAGTCTGGTGAGACGCACCGCTATGGTTGGTGCTGTGGCGAGGAGACCGTCTCTGTGCAAGGCTAAGAGTCGGGATTTGTGCCGTCTGCTGACGATAAAGACGCAAACTTCAGTGGGGTGAGTTTTCACAATACGAAGAATATTTTTAGCCAAGCCTTATAAGGACAATTTTAAGGGTACTGAAAATTAAACAAACCTGAAATATCTTGAAAATAATGATCACGGAATGTATTAGGGAGATCTAATATGATTTTTTTTAATTATATTTTTTTAGCATACATTTGTTCCCCAGTGGTACTTCTCGTTATCAGCCTATAAAGATACAGTGAAAAAGCGCAGTAGTTCTGCAATACGGTCTACCTGCAATGTGGTCCACTTGGTAATATTGGGTACCACAGTTCAATCTATTTATGTGAAAATTAGGACCATCGTCTCCCTTAAACGTCTCTGCCAAGACAGGGACAGAGGGAGGTAGCTGTCCTCATACTGCCCAGTAAGACTTTGATGTATAAATTACCCAATAACTCAGATGTGATTAATTTTTAGCATCCTGTCTTTTGTACTAAATGCATGATTATGAATATGTGAAAGGATTAGGAGGGAAAGCTATCGTAAGCCTCACTTTTTTTCAAGTCATGGATCAGCCATGCCTTAAGTCTTACCATTTCCTCAAAAGGATACACATTGCCAGTTTGCTACTGGTAAACATTTCCTGCGTTCCCCTTTGTCTGCTAAGGCAAGACTGGTGCGCCGAGTGTATGAAGAAAAGCATACATACATTGCCTTCTCTGTGATATGCCTACATGAAGAGTTACTGCTTCTCCATTTGCACTGGACAGAGAGCGTACCCAATATAAAAATGAGTACCCAAAACAGGCTATCCTGCTAAAAGAGAAGTGTGAGATCTTCATACGGCATCCGTTTTCCTCAGCTCCGCTCCCATGCTCATCTTCCACAGCCCGAACTGGCAGCATCCCACAGCTCTGTAGAATGGCCCATCATTTCTGCCATCCTCATGAGGAGAAACTGCCTTTGCCACACTGGCTGTCAGGCTGTGCTCTGCCAGGACCTCGTATTTATTTATAGCTCCCATTCCGGTGAGCCTAGTGGCTTCTAGCTGAGCGCAGACTTGCTCAGACCCTGACTCTGTTCTCAAGGTGGGTAAATTGCACTAAGAGAGTTTGTCTTGAGCTGATCTGTTCAATGTTACACGTAGCCCGCTGCATGGGGAAATGTGCCGCCTGTTCCTGGGGTGAGAGGAAGGCAGGGCTGTCTGTGGTGAGCAGCGAGGCTCAGGTGCTCACACGCCTTTAAGTTGTTCCGTCTCGATTTGGCAGATGTGATCATCAGCACATTTTGGCAACCTTTGCTTGCTTCTTGTACCATCTTTCTCTAGCTGGGCTGGTCACCAGGGGCTTGGGAAACTGAGCAAACAGCTGTATTGGTTTCTGCAGACAGTTTCTCACCTCTGTGTGTCCCTGTGCAGTTAAAGCAGGGTCTGTCAGTGCAGCTTGGACAATGACCCTGTCCTCAAACATTGATGCTTCCCAGGGACATCATTGTTGTAGTGTATGAGGAAGGCCAGCACAACAGCGTTCTTGGGCAGTAACTGAACAGTCTCAAGCAAGTACATTGCCCCCTTGCATTTAACTGTGAAAGCTGTCAACCTTTCTTCTTCTTCTCTTTTTCTTCTTTCTGACAAAAAGCCTTATTTTAAAGGTTTCCCTACTCTGTCCAGGTGCTACCAAAGTAACCAGAGATATGAGGTGTCTTTATTTTTGAGTGTCTATCTGGAGACAGTGTGGTCAGTGGGCTTGTATTCAGCCCTGTACTCAGCTCTTGCCCTTCTTAGTTTAGCACACAAAAAGCAAGATACCTGGAATAAGCGCTGAGCGAGGTTGTGGAGCATCCGTCCTTGGAATTCTTTAAAACTCAGCTGAGCATGGACATGAGCAACCTGCTCAATGTTTTAGGTTACTCAATGCTTTGAACAGGAGGTTGGACCAGATGCCTTCCAGAGATCCTCTCCAAACCAGATTTTAATGGAACTCTAATCAGCTGTGCTCCAGGGTTTGGAGGAAAAGCCTTTGATTCTTGCTGGGGAAGGAAGCAATTTCTGCAGAGCCTGGAATCACTGAAATACACTGATTTATTTCAAGACTTCTTTAACCTTTAGCCAGTAGTCATGATGGCGTGGTTCCACCAGTGCTGTTGAACTTGCAGAGGGAATTTTGGTCTCCCAAGTGCCCTCTGGATATCTTCAGCTCACAGTCAGTGAGATGTTGCTAGTGGGGAACTACCATGTGAAAGTGCTGAAGTTCCTCTGAGAAAGCTTGCACTTGGCTGGTGTGTTGCTGCTTTGTAACAGGTGTGAGAGGATTGAAATAGCATATTTTATGCAGCAGAAAAATGATCACTGCTTCTTTTCTTGTACATGGGAGAATGCGACAGATATCTATAATATGCCTAGATAAAATAAATAGCATAAAATGCCTAGACCAGATTACGTCATTCTTTTGCAGTTTTGTTCTCATAAGACGTTGCAAAGAGATGTTAATTTTAGTAGGATCTCTGTGAAAACTGTTTTTTTTTTTCCACCTAGGATCCTGCTCTGTTCATTTAAGAAAACTGTATCCTCAAACGTCTGTAAAAGCGTTTGGCCTCAGGTTTTCATTAATTTCTCTGCCTTCTTTTTGCAGACATGAATGAGGAACGGTTGGGTGATGCCAGTGGAGCAGACAATGCCGAGACCTACAGTGACAAAGACACAGACCAAAGGAGTTCCCCAGACATGACTAAAGCCAAAAGTTGCTTCACCCCTGAAAGCCCTGAAATTGTTTCAGTCGATGAGGTCGGTTATGCAGTTCAGAAAAATGGTGGGAGCGCGGAGAGCCGTCCAGACAGCCCCAAGTACCACCCAGAGCAGAACCACCTCCTGATAGAAGGTCCTTCTGGGACAGTTTCTTTACCTTTCAGTTTGAAAGCCAACAGACCTCCACTTGAAGTCTTGAAAAAGATCTTCCCTAACCAAAAGCCAACTGTGCTGGAGTTGATCCTGAAGGGGTGCGGCGGCGATCTGGTGAGTGCTGTAGAGGTTCTCCTATCCAGTCGGTCTTCGGTGGCCAGTGGGGAGAGAACTTCTGCAGAATCTGATGGTCTTGTTTTGCCTTCCAACGGGCACATTTTTGAACACACGCTGAGTTCGTACCCTATTTCCTCTTCCAAGTGGTCTGTAGGCTCAGCATTTAGGGTTCCCGACACGCTGAGGTTCTCTGCCGATTCCAGTAATGTCGTGCCAAACCCTCTGGCTGTACCTTTGCAGCACCCTTTTCCTCAGCCACCGCGCTACCCGCTGATGCTGAGGAACACTTTGGCAAGAAACCAGTCCAGCCCGTTCCTGCCCAACGATGTCACCCTGTGGAACACCATGACGCTGCAGCAGCAGTACCAGCTGCGGTCCCAGTATGTCAGTCCTTTCTCTAGCAACTCAGCCAGCGTTTTCCGAAGCTCGCCTGTCCTTCCTTCCCGCTCGTCAGAAGATCCTAGGATCTCAATCCCTGACGATGGGTGTCCTATTGTGTCTAAGCAACCGATTTACACAGAAGATGAGTACGATGAAAGGTCTGATTCTTCAGACTCAAGAATACTCAACACGTCTTCTTAGACTGACATTTGGCACGTGATAGCTAAGTGATACTTGCAATGCAGCTGAACTACTGGGCCCTAAGAGGAGGGACACGTACTCTACGAAACCCTTGCATTTGTGTTAAAAAGAGACTTTGCTTGGTATTGTACTATAGCAATAAAGACGTAACTTATTTAATTTCTTGCACTTCACTGGATAATGCCAAATAGCAATACTCTGGCTTTAGTGCTGAGTGTATGTTACAAAGGAAGACTTCACGGCTATCAGTTATGGACTCTGGAAGACTCATAATAGAAACAGAAGTCCAAGGTCTACTTTGTTCCTTAACTCAGAGAAATGGGGATGTTAAACTAGAATACTTGAATGCTGTTTTATAAGAGAGAACTCCTCAGGACATAAGAAATCAAACAAACGTAGTTCAATTGCAGATGGACTGAAACAAGGACCTTACAATCTTAACGCCAGTGATCATCCTTGCAGTGAAAGAAAAGGCGGAAGAAAGAAATATGCACATGAAACTAGCATGAACTGCTTCTGTGCCATTTGAGCTTGGACACTTCTCAGAGAAATAAGAGTTATTCTTCTCCCATGGCTAGGTCAAAACGTGTAATGTCAGTGTAAAACCAATTACAGCTGTGAATTGCATGAAGTGTATTGTGAAATGAACACCAGATTAAGAATTGTCAGGTTAATGTAGCATGCTAAGGACTCTAGAAAAATAAACTAAGATGATGATCTTGGTTTATGTCATTTATACTGGGCAAATAACATTTCTGAAGATAGAGAGCTGATTAGTCCTCAGCCGGGGTTAAAATGTCCAGCTCCAGCAACTGCAGTCAAGGGAAGCCTCTTTTTCGAAGTCAGGGTTCTGCTTCCCTGCCTCGTAGCTTGCAACTGAAATTAGACAAATGTTGTCATTGGGGAAGCTGAGGTCTCTTGAGTATGTACTGCAGACACCTCCAAGCTCAGCTGAGTAAAGCAGAGCTTGCTACTGTCACAGCAAGCAGAAAGAGAGGCTCTCCTGATGCTTCAGAAGCATCTTTATTCCTAGGCTGTAGAAGTAGAAAAAAAGAAAATAGGATGTAATAGCAGACATCTCTTTAAAATAATGTTTAGCCAAAAGGCAGCTTCCTTAAATCTAGAAAAGTAACAGTTTGAACAATTTATTGCATGTTTGCATGCATTGATTACACTGCATATCTTATGTGTGTCAGAGTAACATTACGAATTGCTTCTGATGAGGAATGCCACTAAGTTAATCGTCCACTTAGAAGTTTGTTAAGGTTTTAGTGCTATTTTTCCAACTGTTCACAAGTGACCGCATCTGCTTGGCAGTTGGCTTTTCCGAAACATACCTCTGAATGCAGATGAAGTGTCTGTCAGGCATGTCAGGTGTATGGATTAGTCCCACACCTCAAAAACAGTTGAGGCTGCCCTGAAGTTGGGCTCTAAAGCAGACGGGCTTTAAAACTATAAAACATATCAGGCATGTTAGCTGGTGTCATTGCTGGTACAAACGCCTGTGTTGGCGTTCCATATTTTGTAAGGTTTATGTACTCAGTGAATCTTGAATTTTATAATGAACATGCACAAAAAAGAAGGAGAATAAAATAATGATTTTATTTTCCTTAGGGGATAAATGAACAGAAAGATACTTTTTCTTGCATAATTTTCCAACCTGTTCAGAAAAACAATTTGTTGGTAATGCTACAGAACAAAGACATAAAGGCAGGGGGAGGGAGAAAAGAAAAGAAATAGCTTCCCTTGTGGTAGTTTAAATCTGGAAACATCTGGAGTTTTCATAAACGCAGAACTACAGTTTTGAACTGACAGATTTGCCTGCACTCACATGGCACTTGTAAACAAATTCATCTTCCAGCCACTTCAGAGAGAAAAGTAATAGGTAAAATAGGCTGATCTTGCAAACAGAAAGGGGTGAGGTAGTGAAATGCGGTGGTCCAACATCATGGAGAAATTGAGTGTTAAAGGCCAGATAAGAGCAGGCAGGTCCAGGTGCTCTGCTTTTGAGCTCATGCACCAAGCAGATATCTCTCCAGCAGAAACATTTTTATAGGCATACCCGTACACTGAATTAATTTTTTTTTTTTTTTTTTTTTTTTGCTACAGAGGGCAAATCATCTCCAGCAGAAAGACCAAACAGTGGCTCCTATGACAGGTCATAGTGAAATTAGACACTATGGCCTATAGGTTTTCAGAGAACAGAATTTTGGCAACTCGGAATTGGGACACATCTTTCAAAGAAAGGTGACCCTTGACTAAACTAGAGTGAACTATTATCACTCTAAACACTTGTGGTGAAAAATGCAGATTGAGCGGTATGTTTTTTTAATTAGATCTCTTTTGATAAACTGTTTTCTGAAAAAGCAAACAAGTTAAAATAATCCTTAGCCAGTATTTTAGAGCATATTTTGACTCAATTCACTTTTTTTTTTTTGAAACAAAGTAAACCTGAACGTGTTCAAAATCAAAAATGCAAATTTTGGTGTTGCATGTTTTTTGTTTCACTACACCAT